AACTCCATTGCCAAACATGTTTCCAACATCTTTGCCAAAACATCATTCCAAGTAACTACCTCCACAACCACGACCATCAAGGACATCACCAGTAGTAGGCAAGACAAGCCTCCATCCTCTGCAGGGGTATACTAATCCCTTGTAATGACTGCAACAAGTTTATACGTGGGCGAAACATCAAGGGACCCTCCAAACACGTATTTCAAACACCATACGCAGCAGGTTCTGACGACACAAGGAATGCATGCGTACAACACCGAAATTTTCACACAACCACTTGATAAACTACAGAAACTCAAGACTTATCGCCACAGAAGACAACACCCAATACCGAAGAATCCTGGAATCATCACTTATTTCTATTTCCGACAACTTCAACCAGAATAGTGGCTTCTATAACATAGCTGAACCACTTGCCAAGAAACTTCTTCATCGCTATCCCACATAAGAAACACTGTAGAAGGTCTGCTCCAATTTGTCCAGTCTCCTTTCCAACTACCCAAGTTTTTAGACTCAAAAACCCAACTCGGTACATCATCAATGCAGCATTCTTCACCTGACCTCAGCCGGACTATAAATAATTTTGGTTTTCCCTTTCCCACCCCAGGTAGTTCTTTTTGGGTGATTGAAAAAGCCCACTGTGTGGGCGAAACGTAGTCAATAAAGGATCACATTATACTGCATTTGTGTTTATATTGCCATTGTGTCGGTATTTTATACCTTTATTTCCATCGGGGTCAAACACTGCAGTAAAATGGATCCTTCACACAGAGAATACCTGGACCTTCTCCAAAAAGCTTACTAAACTTCGCAACAGACCAATTTTCTTCGTGACTGCATCCAAGAAATGGTCTTACCAAGATCTACTCCTCCTCAAATTCCCAAACATCAAACACCTTTCTCCGCTACAGCTCGGGCCTACCTTTAAGAGTGTGCAGATGACTTAAACAATGCTACAAAGGGAAACTTTTCTCCAAGCCAGAACAACTAGGCACAACACTCCGGGGCAGCATGAACAGACGCACCGGGCCCAAATCATTCGCCCAGCAGAGTTACCACAGCGAATGTTCAACAGAAGATCAACTTACTAGGAAACTACAAACACTCTGCGATAATAGTAATTGGAAAGTTTGGAAGACCTGAAATTATTCAAAATCTTTCATCTCGTTTCCCCTGTCAACCACAGAAACTGAAGCCCTCAGCTTAGGCCTCAAATTCGCAACAGGAATTACGAAACCAAAACAAGACCTCAATTTCATCGCCAAAAACTACAGACACAATGACTCCGACTTCCAAAAGGCTTCTTCAAGGCATCATCTCAGCAGCCATCTCAACACGCAGCTCCCCAGTCATACCCCGACGTTACATCAATGCACTCAAAGGTTTAGCAGAAGACACGACCATCAGGGTCACCACCGCTGATAAAGGAGGTGGTGTTGTCATCATGAACACTGACGTTTACAGGAACAAAATGCTCAATCTACTAATGACCAGATACCTTTCAAACCTCTCACAACTAACCAAGTGGACAACCTTACTAAAACTTTCTTCAAAGACCGCCGCATTCTGAGGAGCTTTAGAACAAGGAAGAACTTCTGCACACCATGCCCAGCAACCCCAAACCTGCCAGAATGTTTCGGCCTGCCAAAGACTCAAAAAGGGCCCGGGATCCCAATGAGGCCCATATCCTCGGAATAGGCAGTGCTCCCCACAAGCTCTCAGGAATTCTCGCCAAACACCTCTCGAACTCTTGGGCACTATCAGTTTCCCGCACATCTCAAACACTCAGGTGATCTTCTCAATCGCATTCGCAACATCAACATCAGGAACAAGAAACTTTCCAGCCTTGAAAGTGACTTCCCTATTCACTAAAGTACCTACTAAACAAGCCATCGATCTCTTGCGCAAGAAAATTGACGATTCACTTGATCTTCCCATTCCAGCCAGCGACTTCATCGACCTGGTTTTAACTATGTGTTGGCTTTACGTGTTTCTCTTTTGAAAATCACCTCTTTCAGCAGACTTTTTGGACTACCCATGGGTTCGCCACTCAGTGCAGTCCTAGCGAACCTATACATGGAAAAATCTAGAAGCAACGTTTCTCCACCATTATTCCTTCGTCTGTCACCTGGCTCCCTTATGTTTTACGACCCTTCTCCTCATAACTCCTAAACGCTTCAACGTTCAAGCTCTCCAAGACAAGCTCAACCAGGTCGAGCCTTCAATCCAGTTCACACTTGAAGAAGAGGTCGACAACACTCTTCCCTTTTCCCTTTATGTTCTACTCTGCAAAGCTGACCACGAACTTCGTTTTAAAGTCTATCGAAAACCCACCAACCAAAACGATCTTCTCCACTTCTACTCTCACCACGACACCAAAACCAAACGTGGTTGTAATTATAGGCTTCTTCCTGCGTGCACTCAGAATCTGCAGCAACGATTCCTTGAGGGAAAATATGCACTATAATTGAACCCGGTATTTTCCAAATCCACTATCCTCGTCACTTCATCAGAGACTGCAGACGGCGAGCACTAAACATCTTCAAAAACACCCAGAGAAGACACTGCCGAGAAGAGATCATAGTCCCCTTTCCCACCAACTCCCTTGCCAAACATGTTTCCAACATCTTTGCCAAACATCATTCCCAAATAACTACCTCCACAACCAAAGACCATCAAGGACATCACCCGTAGTAGGCAAGCAAGCCCTCCATCCTCTGCAGGGGTATACATAATCCCTTGTAATGACTGCAACAAGTTATACGTGGGCGAAACATCAAAAGGGGCCTCCAAACACGTATTTCAGAACACCAATAAAGCAAGCAGGTCTGACGACACAAGGAATGCATGCGTACAACACCGTAATTCACACAACCACTTGATAAACTACAGAAACTCAAGACTTATCGCCACAGAAGACAACACCCAATACGAAGAAAACCTGGGAAACATCATTTATTTCTATATCCGACAACTTCAACCCGAATAGTGGCTTCTATAACATAGCTGAACCACTTGCCAAGAAATTCTTCATCGCTATCCCACATAAAACACTGTAGAAGGTCTGCTCACAAACTTGGGCCAGTCTCCTTTCCAAGCTACCCAAGTTTTTAGACTCTACAACCCAACTCGGTACATCATCAGATGCAGCATTCTTCACCTGACCTCAGCCGGACTATAAATACTCGCTTTCCTTCCACCCCAGGTAGTTCTGTTTGTGACTTGAAAAAGCCCACTGTGTGGGCGAAACGTAGTCAATAAAGGATCACATTATACTGCATTTGTGTTTATATTGCCCCCACTCCCTGCTATCAAGGAAGAGGGAACAAGGGTGGGGGTGGTAATGACCCCATGTCTTGTATACATTAATTTCCTCTCCCACTCCCCCTACCAGAATTCTCCTCTGCCCCGCTTTTCCCAAATTCACCCTCCTTACCCCTGCTTCACCCACAGTCACCTCTCCCCCCCTCCACACCTTCCCCACCACACCACCCTCTCACCCACACCTCCCTCCCATCACACCTCCCTCCCCATCACACCTCCCTCCCCACCCACACCTCCCTCCCCACCACACCACCCTCCCCACCACACCACCCTCCCCACCACACCACCCTCCCCACCACACCACCCCCACTCCGGCCAAGAAATCCAGGGAATTGCTCCATCGTGTCTTAAGGATTTAGCGCAGTCGGAGAGAGATGAGCCTTATCCAATATCTCTCCTCTGGTCTGAGACTGAGAGAGATGAACTTCATGTCAATACCTCGACTCTGGTCTAAGACTGAGAGAGATGGACCTCGTATCAGTATCTCGACTCTGGTCTGAGACTGAGGAAGATGGACCTCATGCCAATATATCTCTTCTGGTCTGAGACTGAGAGAGATGAACCTCATATCAATATCTCGACTCTGGTCTGAGACTGACTAATTGGGATTACAGGGTCTCGTCTGTCATACGTCAGAAGGGAAGTATGTCAAACCCTCAGACACTAGGAGGTCAATGACATCAAGCGAAGTCTCGCCACAGCCCGTTGCCCAACAGATCGGGAACCTCCGGTAGGGAGGCTCGACAGAAGTCAGAAGCTTTCAGATGGAGTCACCATGATACCCTGGAAGGATGGTAAGCAGACTGTATGGAACTACACCTGTGCGTTTACATTGGCTGACACCTACTTACAATACTCTGAAGCTGAAAGAGGTGGTCCCACCAGTTTCACGAAGACCCAGAAGATCAACAGATACAGAGAGCTGCCACCATGTTATAACTTCGTACAATGGGATCGGAGACCTTCGGAACATGGGACAAGTGTGCTCTCAGATCCCTTAAAGAGTTGGGTGACAAATTCATCAAGGAACCAAAGAGCCCCCGAGAGACCACCTTTTCTTGAGACTCGGTGTTGCGATCCTGAGAAGAAATACCTGCAGTATCCTCATCACATGACCCACGGCCGGAAAGCTGGAAGAAGTATTTTAGATGTAAACTCTGAGATGTTATGCATGTTGTTCGCCTTCCCGTTATATCTTTTTTTAATGAATTTGGCTTCAAAGTTCACACACATATGATGTAGTGAGACGTATGAGAGGAAAATACTCAAACAGCTCCGGGAAGAAACCTCTTCAGCATTTCCTGATATACGTTTATTCTTTTCTCTGAAGCTGTGGGTCCCTAGTCAGTTCTACAGGTGATTCCTCACTCTTCCGTCAGTTAAACACAAGTTCAGAATCACTGCAATACACATGACGTAGTAGGTCTGAACGTTTAGAATCTGTAAACATTAATATATGAGGAGTGAAAATAACTTTTAAGGGAAACTGTATGATTATAATTAGTGTATTGTGTGATAGTTTTGAGGTAACACTAGTCGTGTATGATAAGTCCCCGTGTGATGGTGAGACGTGGTCACACGGTGGTGCCCCATGTGATAGTGAGACGTGGAGTCACACGGTGGTGACCCGTGTGAATACTATCACTCTCCAGTGTAACCCGTGTCACTCTTTTCAGCAGTGGTGAATGATATGCCAAACCGGAGGTTGGAGCTCGGGGTGACGGACGGGGAGGTGCTACCCAAGCTGCAACACCTGGCCAACACTTCCTACTTCGGCAGCTTGCTGGGTTAGTAACCCAGATGATGAATAAGATATGCGCAACAAATAGTTGTCTTTATTGTAATAATATCTAGGTGTTACACATGTATGTTAATTCATCAGATTATCGGTTCTGTTTACCTTTACTCAGATGATATATGATATACAACAGTGTTCCATCTACAATATTGAAAAAGGTCACCTGTTTTGAATAAGATGCTATTTTAGCACGGTGTTGCTCTGAGACCTTTATCAACCTTGTGGCTTTATGAAGCTCTGCAACTGCATGTCTTTTCTAGCATCCGATATTTTCACACTGATGTTAAACCGTATTATCACAATGATGTATTTGTTTATCTAAGGACTCTGAGACTCCTTGCTGCCCGACTCGCAGCATTGCTAACTCGTCTGACTCAAAATGTATTAACCTCAAGTCATGTCTTCATGTCTTGCTTCATCACGCTCTATATCGTGTCTTCTCTGCGCCAGTCCCTCTAGGGAGGCTTCTTGACGCCTTGAGAGATCCATGAGAGGTTCATGATCTCTCCTAAGATCGAGCCTGATTGCTTCTTATTGGATCCTGTTGCTTCTTGATTCCCTTTTTACTCATTTTATGTGTCATTACGTTATGGTCACATTTATTCGAAGATTTTTCAAAGTCTGCATTTGTTACATCTGCATTTTGATCGTATTCCAGTGCATCCACGACCACTTAATAGTCCAGTTATTGAGAAGAGGCAGAAAGGACCTGCTGTATACCCACGTTGCCCTGGGTTTTGTAATTTTTGTAATCCTATGTGTTTGGCAATTCTGCTGCGTAAAGATTTCAAGCTTTACATTTTTTTATTTAATCAGGAGAAGCACTGAACCCGTCGGGATCATATAGTGCTTGAGGAATGAGAGGCAAGTCTCTTCCCCAGTATCAAGGAACCTTCCTGGAAGGGAAAGTTCATTTGTTGCTTTTAATAACATAGAGACGTCATTGTAATGAGGCTATAGTTTATCCACAGTAATTTTCCAACCATCATTATGAAGTGCGGCTGTATCAGTGGTTTTTACCAACTCTGGTGTGATTCCTGTGTCCAGTCTCCGTCTCCATAGGATATTTACGCAAGGTGATATTTTTTTGTGTCATTTTTTAATGACTGTGGGTTTCCGAGGGTCTGGGGCAAAATATATATAGTTTCCTCAAAGTCTAGTGGTGCTTGCATTAAATAAAAAAAATGGAAATAGGGCAAAGTTTAGAGTCTTACACATTAAAACACATACGAGTATTTTGGTGGTCAGTCTTGATCCTGGTTAATGGTTCACTTAACACAGAGTCGCAGTATAATTACTGTATTTAACTCATTTCTTTGTTGTCTTCAGCAGGTTGTCTCCTTTAATCAACGGCTCAAGAAAAGAAACGACTTTTCCTCCTTACTCAAGCAGAGGAAATTTTCTTTTTATCAATTTCATTGAGGACTTTTGGGACCGTCTGTCTCTCCTGAACACTGTACGAGGCAGTCATCCTTATTTCAGTGTTTTTCTTTTGTCTTCCCAGTTAGGTTAGGGTTATTAAGGTTCGTCAGGAAACATTTGTCCTGTTTCCTGACGCAGTTCTTAGTCAAATGATTACCTGCCACTGGAGCTTATGGTCATATGGCCGAAGCCTTCCACTGGCTTATGAATTCACTCCTTTAAAAAATAAAATATATAAAAAAATCCGTTCTACGTCTTCTCTTGCGTCAGTATTTATTCTCGATCTTAAGAAAGTTTTCAAATTTTCTAGAGAAAAATCGAGAGAAGATACAAGTTTGGAAAGAGAGAGAGAGAGAAAGAGAGAGAAAGAGAGGCGCTCTATCTGGGCTTCAAACACTTGTCTCACGCTTCACCTGGGTTTCAAACATCTGTTACACACTTCACCTGGGCTTCAAACATCTGTCTCACACTTCAACTGGGCTTCAAACATCTGTTGCACACTTCAATTGGGCTTCAAACACCTGCCTCACACTTCACATGGGCTTCAAACACCTGTCTCACGCTTCACCTGGGCTTCAAACACCTGTCTCACACTTCACCTGGGCTTCAAACACCTGTCTCACACTTCACCTGGGCTTCAAACACTTGTCTCACGCTTCACCTGGGCTTCAAACATCTGCTTCACACTTCAACTGGGCTTCAAACATCTGTTTCACTTAACTTAGGCTTCAAACAACTGTTGTACACTTCACCTGGGCTTCAAACAACTGTCTTACACTTCATCTGGGCTTCAAACAAGTGTTCCATAGTACAGGAGGGTTTCAGCCAGTGTTTCACAGGTCACTGAGCCTCCAGACGTCTGTGCCACACTTTTTTGAGTTTATATTTGTTCTTGTTATTTCTGTAACCACACTACTAAAGTCTTTTTCTTCTCTTTGTTTTTAATTGTTTGTATTTCTTTGTTCATAGCTTCACCGGACCTAAAATGTTCATAGCTTCACCGGACCTAAAATGTTCATAGCTTCACCAGACCTAAAATGTTCATAGCTTCACCGGACCTAAAATGTTCATAGCTTCACCAGACCTAAAATGTTCATACCTTCACCGGACCTAAAATGTTCATAGCTTTACCAGACCTAAAATGTTCATAGCTTCACCGGACCTAAAATGTTCATAGCTTCACCGGACCTAAAATGTTCATAGTTTCACCGGACCTAAAATGTTCATAGCTTCACCGGACCTAAAATGTTCATAGCTTTACCAGACCTAAAATGTTCATAGCTTCACCGGACCTAAAATGTTCATAGCTTCACCAGACCAAAAATGTTCATAGCTTTACCGGACCTAAAATATTCATAGCTTCACCGGACCTAAAATGTTCATAGCTTCACCAGACCTAAAATGTTCATAGCTTCACCGGACCTAAAATGTTCATATCTTCACCAGACCTAAAATTTTCATAGCTTCACCGGACCTAAAATGTTCATAGCTTCACCAGACCTAAAATGTTCATAGCTTCACCGGACCTAAAATGTTCATATCTTCACCAGACCTAAAATGTTCATAGCTTCACCGGACCTAAAATGTTCATATCTTCACCAGACCTAAAATGTTCATAGCTTCACCGGACCTAAAATGTTCATAGCTTCACCGGACCTAAAATGTTCATAGCTTCACCGGGCCTAAAAATGTTCATAGCTTCACCGGACCTAAAATGTTCATAGCTTCACCGGACCTAAAATGTTCATAGCTTCACCAGACCTAAAATGTTCATAGCTTCACCAGACCTAAAATGTTCATAGCTTCACCAGACCTAAAATGTTCATAGCTTCACCAGACCTAAAATGTTCATAGCTTCACCGGACCTAAAATGTTCATAGCTTCACCAGACCTAAAATGTTCATAGCTTCACCAGACCTAAAATGTTCATAGCTTCACCAGACCTAAAATGTTCATAGCTTCACCGGACCTAAAATGTTCATAGCTTCACCAGACCTAAAATGTTCATAGCTTCACCGGACCTAAAATGTTCATAGCTTCACGGATCTAAAATGTTTCATAGCTTCACCAGACCTAAAATGTTCATAGCTTCACCGGACCTAAAATGTTCATATCTTCACCAGACCTAAAAATGTTCATAGCTTCACCCGGACCTAAAATGTTCATAGCTTCACCGGACCTAAAATGTTCATAGCTTCACCGGACCTAAAATGTTCATAGCTTCACCAGACCTAAAACGTTCAAAGCTTCACCGGACCTAAAATGTTCATAGCTTCACCGGACCTAAAATGTTCATAGCTTCACCGGACCTAAAATGTTCATAGCTTCACCAGACCTAAAATGTTCATAGCTTCACCGGACCTAAAATGTTCATAGCTTCACCGGACCTAAAATGTTCATAGCTTTACCGGACCTAAAATGTTCATAGCTTCACCGGACCTAAAATGTTCATATCTTTACCAGACCTAAAACGTTCATAGCTTCACCAGACCTAAAATGTTCATAGCTTCACCAGACCTAAAGTGTGCATAGCTTCACCAGACCTAAAATGTTCATAGCTTCACCGGACCTAAAATGTTCATAGCTTCACCGGACCTAAAATGTTCATAGCTTCACCGGACCTAAAATGTTCATAGCTTCACCAGACCTAAAATGTTCATAGCTTCACCAGACCTAAAATGTTCATAGCTTCACCAGACCTAAAATGTTCATAGCTTCACCAGACCTAAAATGTTCATAGCTTCACCAGACCTAAAATGTTCATAGCTTCACCAGACCTAAAATGTTCATAGCTTCACCGGACCTAAAATGCTCATAGCTTCACCGGACCTAAAATGTTCATAGCTTCACCGGACCTAAAATGTTCATAGCTTCACCAGACCTAAAATGTTCATAGCTTCACCGGACCTAAAATGTTCATAGCTTCACCGGACCTAAAATGTTCATAGCTTTACTCGACCTAAAATGTTCATAGCTTCACCGGACCTAAAATGTTCATAGCTTCACCAGACCTAAAACGTTCATAGCTTCACCAGACCTAAAATGTTCATAGCTTCACCAGACCTAAAATGTTCATAGCTTCACCAGACCTAAAATGTTCATAGCTTCACCGGACCTAAAATGTTCATAGCTTCACCGGACCTAAAATGTTCATAGCTTCACCGGACCTAAAATGTTCATAGCTTCACCAGACCTAAAATGTTCATAGTTTCACCAGACCTAAAATGTTCATAGCTTCACCAGACCTAAAATGTTCATAGCTTCACCGGACCTAAAATGTTCATAGCTTCACCAGACCTAAAATGTTCTTTAGCTTCACCAGCCCTAAAATGTTCATAGTTTTCACCAGACCTAAAATGTTCATAGCTTCACCGGACCTAAAATGTTCATAGCTTCACCAGACCTAAAATGTTCATAGCTTCACTGGACCTAAAATGTTCATAGCTTCACCAGACCTAAAATGTTCATAGCTTCACCGGACCTAAAATGTTCATAGCTTCACCAGACCTAAAATGTTCATAGCTTCACCAGACCTAAAATGTTCATAGCTTCACCAGACCTAAAATGTTCATAGCTTCACCAGACCTAAAATGTTCATAGCTTCACCAGACCTAAAATGATATTATTCTTGAATTTATTTATTTTTATAAGTGCTTAAAATAAAGATTTTCTTCATTAATCTAATATTAATTGATTTAATATAATAGATGGATAATGTTTTGAATTGTGTGGGTAATATTTGGTTTTCGGAATTGTATTTTATGTCATGCAAATTCCCCAGTATGATGTGAGTTGCGTATTAGTGCAATATTCTTGTCCTGTTAAGACAATCAACCCAACCGGAAGTAATCAAGAATTCATCTCCCAGTCTAGGTTGGGTTGGGATGCTGTTTTTTTTTTTTTTTTTTTTTTTTTTTTTTTTTTTTTTTTTTTTTTTTTTTTTTTTTTTTTTTTTGGTTGCAAATGAAAACATTGTTTTCCCTTGAGGCGCAAAATATAACTGCACAACTCAGTATTAGAGAACTGTTTATAATAACTCGAAGCTAAACTTAATGACTAACCTCTAAGCTAAATAATAGTCAGTGGCGGCTTAAACCTTATCGACTACACGAGGGTCATTAAGGCTGCATTTCAGATGCTCACAGGTAATAGGGAAAAGTTTATTCTCTCAAATTTGGATTAAACTCTCGTGGGAGGGTAAGAGGGAAATAATAGTAATAATTAATTTTATGAGTGATGTTGAAATTAAATGGTAATGAAATTTGACCTTCTTTCTTCTTTTTATCGGTGCATCAGAGGATGGCAGGCTGGTGGTGGAGGGTCGGTGGTGGGAAGTGGTCATCACCACCACACAAGATCTCCACCATCACCACCGCTGGACCAGGTAAGATTCTCTTCTCTACGTTACTAAGTTTCTCTTTAGACTCTGGATACCAACACGGTCTTGAGTACTGAGACACTTGTGCTACACTTGGGTGTTTCTGAGTCCATCTGATCTTCCAGCGTTCTTCGCTGTGTTGGACGGTGGAAGACACTGGTTGCCAGAAACATTACCACAGTACAGAGACCCAAGTGTTGCATTAGTGTCTCAGTCATCAACTTGTTGCTTCTCTCAGCCATTTATCTTCAGTAACGATCTTGAGATGTTATGAGTGCAAAAAGTAATTACATAATGTAGATTTAATCTAGGATAATAGTAGTAGTAATAATATTAATAATAATAATAATAATAATAATAATAATAATAATAATAATAATAATAATTATTTCTACAAGTATATGAAACAACTATTACAGACCATAACTGACATCACTGACATACTATATAGAAAGTCCTTGGTTAGGCAGACCATTTCTGGCAACTTAGGTAAATCTTGTCCTCCAAGATTATCAAAATGGTTCCTAACTTATTCGAGAACGAGGATTATTTTTAATCATTATATTTTTATAATTCCCACATGATAACAGACGTAATTTTTGGTATTATTAATGGAAAAAATCAGCACTGGCTGGAAGAGCAATACGTGCTGTCAGGATGAGGAATAAGACACATGTGCACCTGGGTATCAGTCCCTCATCCTTGTTGAACTAAACACACAAGGCAGTGGAAGATGAGGTAATCAGTCCCTAAATCTGGAAGCCTGTGTGAATGTGAAGCATGAGCAGGAACATGGACTCTTGTGTACTTTGATCAAATGAGGTACAGCAGTTGAAGGCGCGTCACTCTTGGGCGGGACCCACTAGTAGAAGTAGGTCATACCCAAGACTTAGGCCAGAGGTCAGCAAATAGCTTGTAGGTGATATCCTCTGTACCAAGATTCAGTGATGCTGTTGTGTCAGAGAAATAATGAAGCCTGCTGTCAAGTTTGACGAACTTCTTGCAACGTACATGGATGGTTTACAGTATCGACAAGTTGAAGACTTAAATATTTCAGCAACATCTGGGTATCTTTATTTATAGACGTTTCGCCATCCAGTGGCTTTATGAATACAAATTCAAGGACATAATGGGAAGACTGTAGAATCTTCACCAGCTCCAAGGCTGAAGGACTGATTACTTTGTCTTTTATGTATAGTTCTATGATCTTATTATGTCCTTGAATTTAAGAAAATAAATGACTTTGTGACAGTGGTGACGTGTACTTAGCTCAGTGATCACTTGCGCCAAGCTCTTCAGCGATCTCCAGATTATTTACGAGTGTTTCCTTATTTGACAAGACTAGGTCTAGCAAATTATTACCCCTGGTAGGCTCTGTTATGCACTGCTTCAGAAAATAGTCCTGAACTGTTTCTATAAAGTCATTGGACTCTAGATTACCTGTCAAAGAATTCCAGTCAATTTGACTAAAATTAAAGTCCCCTACTACCACTTTTTTTTTTTTTATTCGCCGGTATTCTCCCGGCCCGGGTCTTTTCCAAGTAGTGGTGACCCGGCCTTGGCTCCCTATCTGGGGAGTGTCTCGAGACCTAAGTCTCCCATGGGAGGAGGTACAAGTACCCCCTCATCTTTGGGACCAAGTGTCCCCAGGCCTAGCCACAGTCCCCGCCCTCACGGGGCTCGTAGGGAGAAGCTAGGCCTCTGGTCTGCCATCTACCCCGCCTCAAAGGGGCTCGTGGGGATGGCAGTCTTATGAGCTGCAGGTGGTAACAAGCTCAGGCTCCATCTTCTCCTACTACCACTATGTTATTGTGTCTAGAAGCCCTAACAATTTCGTCCCAAAGAAGTCTCCCTCTATCGTGATCCAAGCCAGGAGGTCGGTATATTACACTTAGAATTAGTTTTTCTTGATCCTCTACAAACTCTACCCAAACAGATTCTGTTACTGTTCCATCTATTTTTATACCTGGTTTTATGCAACAATTAATATTTTCTCGAACATATAATGCAACTCCTCCCCCCTTCCCACCACATCTGTCCACATGGAACATCTTAAACCCTCGAATATTACACTCAGCAATCATATCCCGACTCTTTAAATCATACCAAGTTTCACTTAATGCAATGATATCAAAGTTCCCAGCACATGTTACCAAACGTAGTTCATTAATTTTATTTCTTGCACTTCGACTGTTAGCATAAAATACCATCCTATGTTTTTTCTTCTGCACATTTTTCCTATTCATCTTTGATTTTACACAATTTCTGAAATTATCATTACCTAGAGTTACTCCATGACAGTTCCTATTAAGATTCTTAATATCAGAGCATAAGTCAATATATCCATACTCATTATTTATCATTTCTAAACCCATACCTCTAACTAATCCTAGTTTAAAGTCCTAACAACCCCCTCAACTGAGCTAGTAAGAAAACCCACACCTGCCCTGGATAAGTGAACCCCATCCCTGGCATACATGTCATTTCGGCCATAGAAGTTGTCCCAGTTGTCAATGAATGGTACTGCATTATCCTTACAGTGTTTATCCAGCCAACAATTAATACCAATTGCTCTGGACAACCATTCATTATCAACACCTCTTCTTGGCAAAATGCCACATATAACAGGGCACCCCCTCTTCTTCCTAATTATGTCTATAGCTGTCCTGAACTTTCTAACTAAATCCTCACTTCTACACATGCCTACATCATTACCTCCAGCACTGAGGCAAATAATAGGGTTGATCCCATTACCGTTCATGATGTCAAGCCGGCTAACAATGTCCTCCACCCCAGCGCCAGGAAAGCAAACCCTCTGTCTCCTACTCCTGTCCTTCAAGCAGAACGCCCTATTCATGTATCTAACCTGGCTATCCCCAACAATAACAATATTCTTACCTTCTTTGGTGTCGTTCGTCGTGACGATCCCAGTAGTCGACTCACATTCGTCGGGAAGCACAGAGAATGCATTAGATGTTTCCACAGCAGTCTCTTTCTTCTTCATCGTTTCTGTCTTCCCATTCCTCTTGATCGTCAACTTTGTTCCATGCTGTCCAGCCACCGACCACGTTCCCTTCTTGACCTGAGGACTCAAAAGAGGAGGACTACTACGAATCCTCTTGTTTTCCTCAGTCAATCGCCGTATCTCCATATTCGCTACTCTCAATTCTTCCTTAAGCTGCTGGTAAAGTTGCTCGACGGAGGGCATCTTGGTTCAGTCCATGAATAGCACACAAGACACTTCTTTACAGAGTTAAGTACAGGTCTTCATTGTGACGTTCCCAGTAGACAACCTACATTCGTCAGGTAGCACCGAAAATGGGTTGGAAGCTTCCACAGTAGTCTTCTGGTTCTTAGTTGTTTCTGCCTCTCCAACAGTCTTCTTGATCCTCAGCTTGGTTCCATGTTGCCTGGCCACTGACTAGGTTCCCCTCTTAACCTGAAGACTTAAACAGAAGGATTACTACGAATCCTCTTGTTCTCCTCCGTTAATCGCCGTATCTCCAGCACATAAACAAGTCTTCACAGAGCTAAGTACAGGTCACCACTGGGGAGCTAAGTACAGGTCACTACTGGGGAGCTAAGTACAGGTCACTACTGGGGAGCTAAGTACAGGTCACTACTGGGGAGCTAAGTACAGGTCACCACTGGGGAGCTAAGTACAGGTCACCACTGAAAAGCTAAGTACTGGTCACCACTTGGGAGCTAAGTACACGTCACCACTGGGGAGCTAAGTACAGGTCACCACTGGGGAGCTAAGTACAGGTCACCACTGGGGAGCTAAGTACAGGTCACCACTGGGGAGCTAAGTACAGGTCACCACTAGGGAGCTAAGTACAGGTCACCACTGGGGAGCTAAGTACAGGTCACCACTGGGGAGCTAAGTACACGTCGCCACTGGGGAGCGAAGTACACCTCACCACTGTCGGTATTTTATACCACTGATGATTTCATACTTGTCAGACACAGCAACAATATAAGTAATTTAAGAATGTAACAGTATATGTAATAAGAAAATGGATATCAGATTGGAGGGATGGACAATGGAGAAAGGGGATGTGTTCAGATATATAGGAGTGGACTTGTCAGCGGATGATTCTACGAGAAGAGAGGTGAACCATAGAACTGACGAACTATCCACGGAGGCAAAAAGGAAATGAGCCAGAGTATTGTAGTACCAACACAGTTAACAACATAAGAAAGAAGGAACACTGCAACAGGCCTACTGACCCATGCGGAGCAGGTCCATGTCCCCCCCCCGGATTAGACCAATGACCCCCTCCCCCGGATTAGCCCAATGACCCACTCAGTCTGATCATCTCCACTCAAGGATGGAGCACTGCACCAGACCCAGCAGCACAAGCTAGTCAGGTCCAACTCACACCCACCCACACCCACTCGTGTATTTATCTAACCTATTTTTATAACTACACAACGTTTTAGCCTGAATAACTGTACTCGGGAGTTCGTTCCACTCATCCACAACTCTATTACAAAACCAGTGCTTTCCTATATCCTTTCTGAATCTGAATTTTTCCAAATTGAAATCATTGCTGCGAGTCCTGTCTTGGCTGGAAATTTTCAGCACGCTATTTACATCCCCTTTATTTATTCCTGTTTTCCATTTATACACCTCGATCATATCCCCCCCCCCTAATTCTACGCCTTTCGAGAGAGTGCAGATTCAAGGCCTTCAGTCTATCCTCATAGGGAAGATTTCTGATACATGGGATCATCTTTGTCATCCTCCTCTGTACGTTTTCCAGAGCATTTATATCCATTCTGTAATACGGTGACCAGAACTGAGCGGTATAATCTAAATGAGGCCTAACCAAGGATATATAGAGTTGAAGAACAACCTAAGGACTTCTATTATTTATACTTCTAGATATGAAGCCAAGAATTCTGTTAGCTTTATTGCGAACACTAATGCACTGTTGTCTTGGTTTTAGATTACTGCTAACCAGAACTCCTAAATCCTTTTCGCAATCAGTAGTATTAAGATC